GAGTCCAGAGCCGCGAGGGCATGTAATACTATGGTGAGATACCGGCGAGTCCCAGAGCTTAACCCACTGCTCTCCAGGCACACAGTTGCCCCAGAGATGAGCAGGTTGCAAGGGGGACTGTTTAGTCCAAGGAGTAGGACACAAGTACACAACAAATTGCCAGTATATTCTCTTGGTCTGACAAACCAAATTTCCAAGGGGAGCGTACAGACCTGTCCATATATGGGAAGAATAGGACTAAATCAAAGTCTCATGTCCCCAATCTCTGAGCAGTATATGTACCTGCACTGCTTCAAATTCACTGCTACTCTCATGGAAAGCAAAGTTGTTCCATGGCTCAATCCCCTGGGCAGGCTAGACATCAGGAACACTGCAAGGCAGCAGTTTCCTGCACAGTGCTCATAGAGCCAGTGCTCTCATGCTTCCACAAGGGGTTTTCTATGGGGCCCTTTTGGATAGAATCTCTGGGTGCTGGGCAACATGACTTTGCCTCTGATTCTATCTTGTGGATGTCCCTTGGCGTCATACCCAGCATCCTGCAACCAGCCCAGCCCTATCCCTGTGTAAAATTCCAATTCAGGGACCAAAGACAGGCTGAGACCTAGGACCAATCACTTGCTACCCAAGGTTCCAGGAGAGCTGACAACAATATTTGCCACAGAAGAGGGCAAGTAGGAGCCAGGCAGGAGGTCAGCCCCTTGCCAAGAAGGCTGGGATTCACAGCAGGCTATAGCTCTGGCTGGGAAATGGGGGCTTTTCAGGGAAGCAGGATCATGGCTGAGACCCATCACACCAACCACTCACGGGGCAGGCTGAGGGCATCTAGAGAATGTCAGAACACTCCTTCTGATGAGCAGCAGAGGTCTTGAGTGCTCTACCCCACCTTGGTCCGGACTGGCTAGGGACCTGGGTGGTGTGCATCTGCACAGAAGCTGATGTACAGTATACTACACCCTGGAAAGGCTTCTCTGAAGGACCTGGGGGATACTTGGGATGTCCCAGCTTCCACAACCCTGAGGTCAATAGCTTCCTTGGGTGAGCACTGTCTTACACCAGTCAGTTTCCTCCAAGAACCAGCTCTCCTGATCCATGCTTTCATCCTGCAGTGACCCACAGGGTTCTGGTCCTGTGATATCTCCCAAGGGTACTCATTTCATGATGTGTCTAGGGTTCTAGCTCACCTCCTGCTGCATCTGCTCCCAAGTTCCTCCCTAGGCCAACCCAGGGAAGTTCATATGAAATCTAGTGGGCCCCCCTCCATCCTCCTCTCCTGAGACTGCTGAATCTCTTCACAGCCTGCATCCTAGGACCCCCAAATCCTCATCTGCTTAGGTTCTTTCCAAATCCTCACTTGACATTGGAGGTGTCTAGGGAAGCACCCTGGTGACCACCTATGCCATCTGCTTCAGGCTTTCACCTGGTCAAACTGCCTGCTTGGGACACTAAAGTGTCAGCTGGCTCTGCGGGTGACTGACAAGGTACACCTGCCACCCTCTCTGCCTCAGCATCAGGCAGCAACACCTCATAATCAGCTGGGCAAGTCCATCAGTTCAATCAAGCATTTGGACATTACAAAGGGAATTATTTGAAAATAGCTCATACTCATAGTGATTAGTCACACATTCACAGGCAATAATAGTTATTTACCAGCAGCTAGGAGACTCACCAAGAAGATACATCATATCCTGCCAGCTCTGCCTGAACCACACTGTACTGAAAAGGGGACTATCAAGGGGACCACACTGTACTTTTCTGGGGACTATCATGTGAAGATAATTGCACATGTACATCATTACCTGGAAATGAGCAGTTGTCTGTGGGAACACAGGCAGAGCAAAGCCCCAGGCTGTGTATGCTGGGGCCAGTGTGGAAATAGAGTGGGTGGTGTGGGCAGCAGTGGTGATGGGGGCAACAGATTGGGCTCCAGAAGGAGGACACGACCATTGCAACAGGGCCAGCTGTCTGCTGACCTTCTTATCATGACATCGCAGCACTGAGTAAGGTGCAGGAGGCATGAATTCTTGCAGCCAGCTTCCAGGGGGCCAGCTCCTCTTTTGAATACCCCCACCCTTGCCCAGGGCCTTAAAGGCACACAATCTGTTATCTCACATGTCAGGGGCAAATGTGCATGACTTAAGGCCATGGATAAGCAAACAGAGTGCTCTGTGTCTGTATTTTCATGGCCTGAGAATAAATCCATGGACCCTGTGACACCTATACAAATGGCTGTGACAATGTTTCTGCTCAAAATTCATTGGCAAAGGGTCATCACACAACCCTTCCTGAGTACAAGAGGCCTGGCAATGTAGTGTTCCCATTTGTTCAGGGAGCCAGGGAAGAGGAAGACAAGGTGAGGATAAGCACTTAACATCTTTCCATTTGACTATTGCATAGTAGGTGCTTATCAAAAGCAGCTGTTATAATCTGTTATGAAAAAAATCCCCTTAATTTCTAGGAGGAATTTCTCAAAAAGTCACATTTCCCTTGAAATTCTCCACCTTTTTCCAGTGCCCCTACTGTGAAGCAGGTGTTTCAAGTCCAAACTCACATCTAATTTTCAAAATATTTTATACATCTCAAAGGGAGGCATCATCCTGTTCACCCCAGAACATCTTTCTGCACTTCACGTTGCAATAATACCTTAAAGTCTTATGGGACTGTGAATTTTCACCTTCCATTCCATGCACTATCACAGTATTCAGCTGTGAGTCTCTGCTGCCTCCCACACTTCTGAACATGCATGAACAAAGAAACTGGTATATATTTAATCTACAGTAGTTGGTATTTATTTCTAGTAAAATTTTGACACCAGACCCTACCAATCTTTCCTCTGAAAATTTGTTTCTCTGATCAGAGATTTTGCAGCTCAATTGGAAACTAAATAGGAAATTATCCAAAATTGCTGCTCATTGTATCTACCTTCTAGAGGATAAATTGTTGCTCTTGGGTGCAGACAATCACCTAGAGGATGCAACTAACCCAAAGCCCCAGAATTTCCAAGACCAACTCCTTTTCTCTTTGCAGCTATCTTTTCATTAAAACTTCCTATTTTCTTTCATTTACTCTCACTAAAATCTAGAACTTGCATACAGTTGTCCAGTTAAACTAAAGGTAACTATAATAAACTGTCATTTCAGTGGAGTCAGCCTTGGATTTCCCAGACCAGAGAGAAAAGTGTCTGTCCAGTAACTTAGGGGCATTGCTTCAAGGATTAAAACCCTAATTTCTGAGGGAAACCTTGCAGATAATGGGGATAAAACTATCACTTTGTTCTTCTTCAGTGTAAAAGAAGCACACGATAGGCACCCTCCTTACCTGCTTCAGGTGGACATTTCTCTCTGGCTTATCCACAATTCAAAAGGAATTTCAGAGCAATTCTCCATTACAGACTTTTATGCCCAAACTGCACCATCTGTGGAGTCTGGCCACTGCCACCACCCAGCTTCATTACATTCAAAGCCTACAGAGGGATTTACAGTTATCCAAAGCCCCAAATTGCCCTGGCTCAGGCCATTTACACTTGAGAGCACTCTCCAGGAGCCCCACTACCTCTCCTCTTCTTTTACTTGTTATGTAGGACCTCATCACATTCCTTATAGAACTGCGGCTCCCACACTATCATTTTATGGGTGGGTAATCCTACTTATCGTAGTGTCCCCACTACTACTAACACAGCATCTTCCAGAGGACAGAGGCTCAGTGACTGTCTAGGGAATGAATGAACCACTGAGCATGGGTTATCTTTATTCACATGAAACATATCTACTTTCTTGAATGAGCCAAGCAAATCCAAGGATACCTATACAGTTTGTTTCATAGAATAACAGCCAGAAGGGATAAGAAGCAAGAATTAACAACTTTTTACTTTTATTTTTCTATTTTTTCACCCAATTGATTGCACTACTGAGTTCTTTCACATTTCCAAGGAAATGCTGTTCTAATGCCACGTTGTTTAAGTCAGGATCACGAACTAGGATGGAGGGTGTCCCAATTTGTGTTACACAGTAGCAAAACTTTTGCTCTTAAAGTGGACAAGTACAAATACATGTGTGATTAATGTAATTTGTAAACTTAGATGTGAAACTTATGAAACCCTTCATTAAAAGAAATGACATTTGAAAAATGCCTGAAGAAAGTAAGGATAAACTTCTGAATTATCATAGGAAACCAAAGATGCTACAGCCCTTATTCCACCAACTCGCCCTAGCCCTCACTACCTAGAATGGTCTTTCTTCTTTTTTTTTTTTTTTTGTAATGTACTGATTCTTTTTATTTTCTGTTTTTCACAAACAAATGTTGAATTTAAGCAAACATATTCTCCACGACTGTTAATTCATATTTAAGTGTATGCAAATATAGAATTCAAGAAGCAACTTTATGTTCACAAAGACTTTTACATGTATCCATCTCAAAGAATGAAGTCTATCCTTTTTGTTTGGGGATTTAATGAGATACATTTACTATTAGATGTTCAAAGACACTGAAATAGAGAACGGGTGGGCAGCCACCAGAGGGGAGAGAGAAGGGAATTTAAGGGGAAACATGGGGAGGGATTTTGAGGAACAAGTATGAAAGACACAGGGATGAGGACTGGGGGGGAAATGGGAGAGAGGGGGGAGACAGGGTGGGGGGGCTGGGATGGGAGAAATAGACAAAAAATGTACTTGAAAAATAACTAAATAAAAATTTTTTAAAAAGGGCGAAAAAAAAGAATGCTTTAAACGTGGAATTAAAATGAAGCAAGTATTAAAATGAAGCAAATTGAAGATTTTAATCAAATTCATTTTCAATTTGATTAAATATATGTTGTTTAGTAGAACTAACATAAATCCTTAAAAATAGTGATAATGATTTAAAATGTTGTCATTATTTTCTATATGTGTGGTATGAGCATAGAATGCTCTTTCTTCAAACACCACATGAAGACTCAGCCTCACTTCCTGCTCCCAGGGAGAAGTTGATGGATGTGGACCTGAAATGTGCCTCGATGCAACTCTGCCTCAGGTCCTTTCATCCTCATTGCTCTCCACTCCTTCACACGAGCATAGAAAGAGACTGGGATCTTCGTTATTGGCCCTTAGAAAATAATCCAGGATTTTCAACTTGCTGGTTCCAATGTGGGCCCTGGGACCCCAGAGGAACATGTAGCATGCTGGATGGCTGCTGGGTACCTGCCGGTACTCCAGGTACTGCTCCTGCACTCCAACTTTGGTGATGAGCTCCCTGGGTTCCCCATAGGTGTAAGACCTCCTTCAGGCATGCACCCCATTCAGTGTTCCCCAGACCTTCTGCTCAGGGGCACAGTCACCCTCTAGGAGGATCAGTCTCAGGAGCATGACCAGGGGGCTGGTCTTGGGTATGATCTGCCCATCACTCACCATCCCATCATAGGTGATGCCTGAGGTGATCAGAACATAGGTGTGATTGCTGGGGTCCACTTCTTTCACATCAATGCCAAAGAGAAGCTGCATGCAATCAGAGGTTACTCTGCAGATCTCAGGGAATTGGTCTTGGTACTCTTTGACAATGCTGCTCAGCATTTCTGCCTTTGTGGTGAGCTCCTTCGCACAATTCTTCAGGAGCTGGAACTCTACCAAGTCAGCCATTTTCAAATGTAGGATATGTTAGAGTGAACACTCAGTATCTTCAAAGACCTCTTTGCTCCTTGGACCATTTTCATCTTAGCCTCTGGAACCCTCATTTTTAAATTGGCTCCACTGGGGGGGCGGGGGAGCCATGGTAGAGGCAGGGGAGGGCAGGCACCCAGAGAGCTCTGGGGAGGACTAGGTGTCCCAGCAGAAGCCATCTCCTCTAGGCTGTCTAGTAACAAGTCAGAGAGAGAGAGAGAGTAAGACAGGAGTCATACATGCCCACCTCCTCCTCAGCCATGATCAGCTGAACCTCCAACAGGTCCTGTTTCTCGCTGATCCTGATGGTCTTCCTCAAGCTTGCAGAGCTCATTCATCTGACCCAGAGGCATGATGACTTGTGTCAGGTGGCAGTAAGAGTATGGGCTGAAGGTTGGCAATGTGAACCTATGGACGTGGGGAAGAGACTGTGTGAGTGGTCTAAGCTGACAAATGCACCCTAGGCAACTCTGGTGAAGGCAACTCTTAGGTCTAATCTTTAGGGGTGCTTTCATGTTGCATAGGGGTCTTGCCTCCTGGGTAACCTGTCCCTTAACATTCTGAAAAAGGAAGTGAGAAGCCTGCTCAGACATTTCCTCTCTGACCTCATATCCATAAGATTCCCCATCACGCAGTTGGCACAGTCATATGTTCTGGGACTGACAGTAGAATCGTGTAAGGCGGGGTGTTAGAAATTTCCTTCATTTCTTGGTGGGGGATCCTTCTGTGCTAACTCAGGTCCAGCTTCTACCTCCCACCCCCCACCTGCTAGCTTGAGACCAAATTCTTACAACAAGATCAAACATTGCTAAAACATAACAGAATGTAGTTAAAATTCCCCTTATTTGGCAGTACTTACCCAGGAGCTTATTGTGAAAATAATGGGTGGTCACTAAGTGAAAACAATGGGTGGTCATACACTATGGGTTCTACATGACCTGGTGTAAAGGGTCTCCTCAGTCCTCACCATGACCTCTGCCAGATTCTAGGATGCTGCCTCAACAGACCTGAGTCCAGAGCCTGAGACCAAGACTATGTCTTCCCTGGAACCATGGATTTGAAAATGAGAAGGCACTCAACCTGAAAACCTTGGCCAGGGTTTCCAGTAGGCACAGACCATATTTATTTGGGGCCCCCACATTTTTCTAGGTATTGAGATATACTCACTCATTCTTTAGGGTCCTCACCTTGACTCTTGGCATGACCTAAGGTCTCTGCTCTCTGTTGACCAGAAGTACTTCCTCAAATGAGCTGATGTCATCCTCTAAGACCAAGGTCTTCACCTCTGTAAGAAACTACAGAGCAAAGTAAGGAGGCTCATACCCATACCCCAAATCACCTGGCTCCTGCCAACATCACAAAATGTTGACAACAGAAATAGCACCCTCTATGTTGGTGGGGTTTTCCCATCCTGCAGGTTATTCATTTTCAGTCATGCCATGGATTGCCCTATATCCAGGCTCCCCCCACTTGGAACATTTGACATCTCCCTCTTCAACCAAGACCTCACCTCCCTGAGGACTCTCCACCTCCTTGCCCATTATCAAAAGTAGCATGCCACCTTCAGGGATGACAAGGATGACAGGGGCCAACTTTATTGGGCCCTCTCTGTGTGTGGTCAGAGTCCCCTCAGTTACCTCAAGGTATCTGTGTTTCCTTCCTCAGGGTGTAGATCTATCCTTTCTCCTAACCCGAGGATGCATCCTGCAGGCAAAGGCCACTCTCTAGTGTTCTGAAGCGACATTCTTCAGGTCAAGGCTTACCCCTCTAGAAGACCCCCACCCTTGGGCAGCAGTCAGGAATCACCTCATCTGGTTATCCTTCTGGTCTGGAGCCTGCAGAGACTGAGTGCAGAGGCATAGGATCCATCTCTGATATAGGGTCCTAGGTCTTCATTCCTCCCTCAAGGTCCCCATCTTGACTCCCCCCAGAACCTGGACCCTCCCATCCAGTCAACAAACTGGGGTTCTTTATAAACATTTCCCAGTCTCTCCTAGACCCAAATGTGGAAGTCAGCAAATGCCACTTCAAGGGGTCTTAAAGGTATCAGAGCAGGGGAAGGTTTCTTTTGGGTCATTTAGGTTGTGGGGTCCAGGGTCTCTGCAATCCTTCCTCAGGTACCTCAACTTGACTCTGAGCTGTACCAGGGTCATTTATCTGCTGATCTGAGGCCCTACTCCTTGGGTCAAATCTTCAGGCTGTCTAACATCCAGTTACAGAATTCTTGAGACACCGCCTGTGGTCATCATTTCACCAAGGGTCTCCCCAGTGTTAAAGGCAGGTGTGATCTGCATGCCTCATATTTTTGTAAAGAAGTAGGGGCATAAGTTTAAAATCTTTTCCCTTATTGTCCTTGTCATCTATATCATATAGTCTACAGCCCCTCCCAACTTCCCTGCTGCCCCAGGCCCCCACCCCAATATCATCACAGTCTTTAGCCTCCCCCAGGGATGCTCAAGTTTTGTTTTTCCAATATTGTTGCTCATATTTTGTTTGTTTTAAGGCTTAATTTTTATAGCACTTTTCAACAAAGAGAAAAATAAAGAGAATGATACAGAGATTTCCCAGTAAGTCTCTGTTTCCCCCTCACATATATACTATCTTCCATTATCAATGTCTTCCACCAAATGGTCCATTTTTAACAACAAATGTGCCTACACTGATACATCATCATCAGCTTTGGGTAAATAGTTATACAGTTGCTGGACTGTATGTTAAAATCATGTTTACAAAACTGACAAACTGACTTCCCAAGTGCCTGTACCATTTTGCATTCCCACCAGTAATGAATGTAAGTTCCTACTACTACATATTTTTGACAGCATTTAGGGTTGTCAATGTACCAGATTTTGACCATTGTCATAGGTGTTTATTTATTGGGTGTGTGAATGGCGTCATCAAGTGACACGTCAAGTTTGTGGATGGCTGGTATCAAGCAGGGAAAAAGGTAAAATGAAGCTATCTAACATCTTAGAGTTTGACCCAAAGCATCTTGAGCTTCCATAACCACATTAGACAATTCCTTATAAGAAATCACTGTTTACATAGTTGGGTTCAGTTTCTTTAGGAAACAAGACTCATCCACCATCCCCATACCTCTCGTCCTCCTGAGTCAGGCCCTGCCTTTTTCATAAGGGAAGGGGGAGGAGGCATTGCTGGAACCTAGGAGGTAAAGAAGAGGACAAAGCTCTCCCTCTGGGGATCTTACTAGCACAACAAGTGACAACCATCTTCACCCTATTCCCCTGTTCCCAGTGGCCTTAACCACTTGATTTTCCCTCATGCTTTGTTCTAAAGTCCCATTTGACCACCCTCCCCACACAACAGTGAACTTATTGCAGGTGTCCAGGATCCAAATGTGCTTCCCATTTCCCTCTCGATGTCAAAAATAGGCCGTGGAGGACTCTAGGAGGAAAGCAGCCCAGGGAACATGCATCTTTGTAGGTTTTAAAATTTTCTCTCTGACTACTGGGTTCAGAAAGAAGTGGGGAGCTCCTAGGGGAGGTAAGAAGGACCACAGAAAATGTGCTGATATCATTCATGTGGATGGTAATGTTGCAAGGACTAGTGGGAGAACTCTGGACTTGGACTGGAAATGGAGGAAGAAGGGAAAGGCTGGATTCAAGGAATGCAAAGAGAAGAGGAAGAGAGGTCCCATCTCCTTCCAGTTTTATGAATTGATCTGGGGGTTAGGGGAGGGAATGCAGGTACAGATGTCCAGAGACCCATTTCCTGTCTAAAGGAAAGGGAAGGCACAATTGTCCTGAAATGGGCAATGCACTTGGTTCATGGTTCAGCACCACTGCACAGGACAGGAAGATGGTGCCTGTCTTGAGCAGACTGTGTGTAAAACACAGCACAGGCTTCTATGGTGACCCCTGATGATCTTATCACAGAGCTGATCCTGTGTCTTCCCTAAAAGACAAAGTGACTTCAACCAAGGGCTCCCACAGGCATCCTGGGCTATGTGTACAGGATGCCACAGCCTCATACTGAGTGGAGGAGATGTGTCGCAGAGCTTGGACAAGGTAGTGTCTACCAAAAAGGGATTTGTGCCCTGGATATGAATGGGGAAACTTTCCAGAAATCTCATATCTAGTTGTGATGACCCCCTGGCTGCTGAATCTCTGTTCTGGGACCCCCAACACCTCCAGATCCTGCCTCTGAAGCTAGAAATCAATGGTTTAGGGAAGGAGGCAAGTACATTTTCCTAATGTGGTGGTGCCAGAATATTTAGAAGGTGACATATTATCTGAAGGAGACAACCCCAATATGGAGTCTTCAAAATCCACATTTATGTTGGTTGACAGCTCACCATGGACAAGGCACTATGCTCAGCATGACCCAGGGATCATCTCCTCAAAGACTCCCAATGACTTTCTGGGCTGGCATCTGTCACTACCCCTTACTCAAAGTTCAGTGTGTTCATTGGATTGTCCATATTTTTGAGTCAGCATACTAAAAGTGTGAATTATTCATGGCAATTTGGAGTGTGTCCTCACACGGTAGGCATCTTTTTTGTGGCCCATTGTGTGTTTCTGTTCCAGGCTTCCTCTTTCTTTTTTTTTTAATTTTTAAATATATATTTTATTTTATTGATTATGCCATTACAATTATTCTATTTCCCCCCCTCCGTTCCCCTCCACCCTGCACACCCCTCCTCCACAATTCCCCCCTTTAGTTCATAAACACGTGTCTCAAGTTCTTTACATTCTATATTTCCCATACTATTCTTGCCCTCCCCCCATCTATTTTCTACCTACCATCTATGCTTCTTATTTTCTGTACCTTCTCCCCCCTTCTACTCCTCCCACTCCCCTGTTGCTAACCCTCCTTGAGATCTTCATTTCTATGTTTCCACTCCTGATCTAGCTGCCTTCTTAATTTGCTTTTGTTTAAGGTGGGGTTGTTAATAACTGTGAGTTTGCTGTCCTTTCACTGTTCATCTTTTTTTATCTTCTTTGTCTTAGGTAAGTCCC